CCGATTGATTATACAAGAGTGTGGAGGATGTAAGTTTGCTTCTGCTTGTTTGCGGATGTGTGTCTGTGCGTAGGTCTCTGTGTGTGTCTGTGCGAATAGGTTTTGTGTGTTTGTTTGTTTGTTTTTCTCTCTCTCTCTCTCTCTCTCTCTATATATATATATATGTATATATATATATATATATATGTGTGTCTGTGGCTGTGTGTGCGTGTGTCTATGTGCCTATGTCTGTGGGGATGTGTTGGGTGTGTCTCTCTTCGCCCTAGGTGGAGCATGGCTGGCGCCGCTCTGTCTAGCCAGGTGGCCCTTTCGCCTCCCAGACACGCCTACTCGACCTGCTGCATGGATGTTGCGTTAGGGTGTCCGTGAATTGGTAGGGAATGGGAGGGAGAGGGAGACGAGGGAGAGGGAGAGGGACAGAGAGGCAGAGGGACGAGGGAGAGAGAGGAAGACGAGGGAGAGGGAGATCGGGAGAGAAAGGAAGGGAGAGAGAGAGGGAGACGAGAGAGAGGGAGACGAGACAGAGGGAGAGAGAGAGAGAGGGAGACGAGGGAGAGGGAGAAGGGGAGGGAAAGGGAGGGAGAGGGAGAGAGAAGCAGAAGCTATAAGTGGAGGGAGGCGGGGTGCCCGCCCAAGGTTGCGGCTGATGGAGGCGGTTGTCGGGGAGGACAAGGACTTCCCGGCTCGGCAGCTCTTCACCCCCCCTTCCTGTGGGTGTTGCCAGGAGTGCCCCTGGCCCAAAGGGCGCCCCCTTATGAGCCCCCAGGACGCCCCCCACGGTTCCCAGAGCACCCCGCACGAGGCCCAGGGGGCTCCAGGAGCTCCAGAACGGGGCGAACAGCTGGGGGCACCGTGGGCCAGGGGCGCCCTCAGCAACCCATGAGGGGGAGGAGGAGGAGGAGGAGGAGGAGGAGGAGGAGGAGGAGGAGGAGGAGGAGGAGGAGGAGAAGAGCAGCAGGAGAGAAGCGGGGACTGCTTTCAAGGAGCACGAGTCAGATGTCTACGGGCTCAGGGGTCTGCTCCAGTGGCTTCTGAGGGCTCCCCCGCCCCCCTCGCCCTCCTCCTGCTCCTCCTGCGACAGGGGACGCGGGCCTGGCCTCCCTCCTCGCCGCACCTCTCGGCGGCAGGCGGTGCTGGGGACTTCGCGCATCCCTCGTGAGGTGGAGCCCCTCACGTTCGCCCTCCTCCCCCTTACGTTCCCTCCTCTCCCCCGTCTACTAGGCTGCGCTGCGCCCCGCCTCGATCCAGAGCCCCCCAGACCCTCCCCAGACTCCGCCAGGGATCGCTCTGCGGGGACCGAGCACGGAGCGCTGTTCGGCTTGGTCTGGTCCCCTGCTCTGTTTGTCGCGCCGTTGTTGGCTGTGATTCTGTGATGCCTTCGTTTTGAAAACGTTCGGCTTCGTTCCGCTCTTTGGTTTGAAAAGCCAGCGCGCTTTAAGCAGGGGTAGAGGGGGGTCGGGGAAGGGCGTGGCAGGGGCACCGTTGTCGGGCGACGACATCCGTGCACGGCCACTGCCCCTGGCCTGGCCCTCCCGGGCCCCGGGAGCTGTCTGCACACGCCCTCTGGCCAAGCCAGGAGGGCGTGGCATGTGCACCGCTGCTGGGTTCAGCATGGGCTGCCCAGACCCCCGACGTCGTGATTTTTTCGCTGCGTCGATCCCACAGGTTCTCGACCCATTCCCCAGGACGGGCTTCTCATCCTTAGTCGTTTCTCGACGGTCCCGAGGCCCAGTAGGGGCCCCCGGAGGCCGAACATCATCAAAAACCGTCGTGGTTGTTTCATTGCCCGAGGGGGTCTGGGTGGCCAGGGAGCAGTGGATGTGCACGGATTTCGTAGCCCTGTGTGGGGAACATTCGGCGCACAAGGGGGGGAGGGGACGGGGAGGGCAGGCGAGAAGGAGGGCAACGGTGATCGGAGGCGGCGTTCCTCAGAGTTCGCCGCTGGGCCGGCCTGTGGCTCTCGAGCGGATGGAGGGAGTCATTGGTCGGAGAAGGACAAGTTGGGCCTCCTCAGAGGCTCTCGTCGCCACCGCTAGATTCGCTTCGAACTTCTGGTCAGAACGCACCCCGGGAGAGGTCTGGGGAGTAGCGGTATCGGCTCCCCCAAGGGAGCCCATGGGCTGAGCCGGGGGTGCTTTACGCGAGGGTGCCTGGGCCTGGCTGATCATGGCTTGCTCTCGTCTATGTCTCCATCCCGGGGCCCGTCTTTCGCGCCACGGGCTGTCCGAGGCGGGTCCATGATGAAAAGCTTTTGGCCCCACGGCAGGGGTCGAGAACTCTCCCACGGATGAAGCAGTTCAGTCTACCAGAGCCGAAGATCTGGACGCCCGAAATGGGTACGGAAAGAATGGGTACAATGCCCAACAGCAAGTCCTGTTCATTTTGAACCGGATTCGCTGTCCGCGCCGCCGCGGCCTGTGTCCATTCGAGACAGAAGGCCGCCTGCCCAACAGCGGCCGCTGTTGGTTTGGGACAACATGTGCTGTTGGGCATTGTACCCGTTCTTCCCGTGCCCATTTCGGGCGTCCGAAGAAGAACACAACACGACACAGACATGCACAGGCAGAGGCTGGTCCAAAAGGAAGAGCTTGGCCCCACGGCAGGGGTCGAGAGCTCTCCCACGGAGGAAGCAGCTCACTCTGCCAGCGCCGAAGAGCACAGCACGACACAGGCATGCGCTTGTCGGAGGTCCGCGCGGATTTTTCTCGGGTCGGCACCGCTCCCTGGCTGCGCCTCCGAGGGCCCCCCGCTGCGCACCGGCGGGCTTCGCGCGCGCCGGGGGGGGGCGGGAGCGTCCAGTGCCGCAATGATCCAGACATCAACGCAGACCTCGGGACGTTTTCTAAGGAGGGGGAAGACACACAGACACAGTTCATCGTCGACCCAATTGAGGAACATCATTACGGGAAGTGGGGGTGGAAGACGAAGGCCCAGAAGATGCGAGAACATATGGGGACTCCTGGGATGTGTTTGTATTTCTTTGTGTGCCCCTGGGCCCCTTGAAGTTTGATGTTGTTTCCCCTCCCCTACAGGTTTGGGTTGCTAGACTTGCCGATCAGAGCTCCCGACCGGCCTCGCACACCCCTTCACACCGCGGCCGCCAGGCTCATAGAGTGTGCCGTTGCTGCCTGGGTGTCCCGGCTCGTGTCTTCGGCGAAGGACGACTGCAGACCGCGGCCGCCAGGCGGGCGGACCCTGAAGGGCGGGTCGGGTCGGGGCGGGCGGGCGGGACATTAGTGTATGCTGGTGCACCATCGAGGTGGGACGCGAGTGTCCCAACGGGCCCAGAGCGCGCCGGTGTTCCCAGGGTAGCCCACCTCACTCTCTGGAGTGGGGATCGCTCGAAGCAGAACAGTTTGTGGCGAAGAAGCTGGAGGCCGGGCGGGAGGGAAGGCGGGCGCGAAGAGGCGGCGGGAGGGGGACCTCCTGGATCCATGCAGCACGGATCAGAAGAGTCCGCGGGGGGAGCGCGCCAGGACCGCGAGGCGATGCTAGTGCTGTGGCTGCTGCGGCAGTACCGCTGGGGCGGCGGGCAGGACGTCGAACGCCGCAGCGGCGCTGGCCTGCTTGTTCTGCGTCCGTGGGGTGTGTCTGGGAAGTCGCCCAGGCGTCCAGCGGGAGTGCCCGGCAGTGCTTTAGCGCGGCACGGTCCCCACTCCTCGCCCCCCCACCGTTCCCCTCCTCCACGCCTCCACGCCCCCAGCCCTCACCTGGAAGATCCAGCCTCCGGGCGAGCGAAGCGAGACCGGCGGGCCTGGGGGGGCGGGGGGGGGGCTGGGGCCAGGGGGCCACAGCCCCGCCACGCCCGCCAGGTCCGCTCTCGGAAGGGCAGGTGGCATTGGGCGCGGCGCTGGCCGAGATGCTGCCTGACCTGGCCCAATCTCAGAGCCCCGAGTCATCGGGGGTAACTCGGGTCAGGGCTGACTCGGGCTCGGTTTTTCGGGATTCCGAACCCAAGTTGCCCCGGACCCGAGCTGCCTCTGCGAGGCTGGCAAATTTTGATCTCTGGTGGGAGTTCTGGCAGCTTCTCGCGGAGCGACCTGGGGACTTCCAGCTTTTCCATGTTCCCAGCCACCTGTTGGACGATCCCCAAAAGCTCGCCCGTTTTGGCGACTCTGTAGACTGGGACCAGGTAGTGCTCAACTCTGTCGCAGATGAGCTTGCTGAATTGCGGGCTCGGGAATGCCAGGTTCCGAATGGAGTTGTCCAGGCTTATAATGAGCTAGTCGGCAATGCTTGTGCCATCCTCAAGCGTAACGCCTCTAGCATTCTCGAGTGTGCTGCCCTCAAGGCCGAGCCTGAGCGCAGGCTGCGCAAGCAGCCCATTGATCTCGTGCTCCGCAGGCGTCGGTGGATCGAAGCTGATGTGAGGGGTTCGTCGCACGTTTGGGAGTTTGGTTCTGGCGTTTGGACTTGTGGTATGTGCAAGGCTTCGATCTCCGATGCTGCCCCCTCGCTCCGTGCGAGGCTCCGCTCGGCTTGCTCTGCGTGTGGAGGAGGTGGAGTTGGGGGTGCGGAGTCGGTGGTGGCGGAGGAGGTTACTGTGAAGAAGTGGGCGAGGCCAGGTCGGGCCCTGGCCGCCAGGGATGATGCCCTTTGGCGTCGCCTGAGGCTCGACCCGCCCCCCCTGCGTGTTGCGCCTTGGGTTGCGGGCAAGGCGGTCCACCCGTCACACGTTTTGTGGCAGAAGGGTGCCTTCACTTTTTGCGGTGAATGCGGCTCGTGGGCAGTAGCTCGCCCTGACTCATTGCGGGAGCCTTGTCCCGTGGCCGCGCTGGGACCGCACGCCATCACAAAACACCAGCTCGAGGTTTTGCAGCGGGTTTGCAAGGGCCTCCCGCCGTCTTAAGACCTCTACGAGCTGGTTGGCGTAATTCCTTTTCCCTGCCAGGCAACCCCTGCATCTTTTGCATTCTGGAGGTTGGCTGGCAGCGGCGCGCTGGAAAAAAATCCTCTCCGCCTCCTCCTCCTCCTCCTCCTCCTCCTCCTCCTCCTCCTCCTCCTCCTCCTCCTCCTCCTCCTCCTCCTCCTCCTCCTCCTGGCGGCCGAGGCTCACCGTGGCCGGAGCAGCCCCTGCTCGACTCCTGTACCGCGTGTCCTGCTGTGGTGTCCTGCTGTGGCAGCACGATACAGGAGGAAAAGAAACACACAGACACAATTCATCCTCGATTCCCCAGAAAATTTGGGAACATATGGGAAGTGGGGGGGGAGCCAGAAACCCAGAACATATGGGAACATAGGGGTAATCCTTTTTTATTTGTGTGCATTTATTTGTGTGTCCCTGGGCCCCTTCAGCGATGGCTGACTGGGAAGGCTCCTTGCTCGAATTCGGTCAGAGAGGTCCTCGGCGCGCTGGCCGAGGCCCTCCCAGGGAGTTCGAGCCCTGGTGCCCCGGGGCCTCAGAGCCGGGGGGGAGGGAGAGAGACCAGCGGGGGCGGGGGGCGCGGGGGGAGGGGAGGCAGCGCCCGAGACACCCGAGCATCCAGGAGTTCTCGCTCGCACTCCCAGGCGCCCCCCGGGCGTCGCGATCTCTGTGCAGCGTCGGCCCCCAGAGGCCGAGGATTGGCAAGGAACCTCCCGTCGTGACTCTTGGGCTGGATGTTCGTTTCATCCCGAGCCGTATGTGTCGACGGTCCCGAGGCCCGCAGCGGAGGCGTCCTGGTTTGCCCATATAGGCCTACCATGCGTTGTTATAAGAGCCGTTTGTGGTCTGCACGAAATGTTCTTAGAACATTTCTGGCCGAGACTGTATTGTTTCAATGCATCGGGTATTTGTTATGAGAACATTGCTTTTGTCTTTAGATGGCCTAGTTGGGTGCTAGGAACATGTCGTGGTAGGCCTGTAGGGATGCCAGGGCGGTCGGTCCCTGCTCAACTAAGGGTACCTGGAGGCCCAAAATTGCTAAAAACCTCCTGGCGTGGTTTTTTTTTGCCAGGGCTCGAGGGGGTCTGGCCCCCCCGCCTTCCACAGCGACGTTCCAGCGTACCCCTCTGCGGGGGCCTTCCCCGCCCTCTCCTTATCCCCACTGTTCCTTTCCCTCTGCGCGTGTCCACCGTTCAGCTGCAGGTAGAACCTCAGCGGAGGAGGAGGAGGGGGAGGGCGAAGAGGAGGAGAAGGAGGGGGGGGAGGAGGAGGAGGAGGAGGAGGAGGAGGAGGAGGAGGAGGAGGAGGAGGAGGAGGAGGAGGAGGAGGAGGAGGAGGAGGAGGAGGAGGAGGAGAGGGAGGAGGAGAGGGAGGAGGGAGAGGTCAAGGAGGATGAGAGAGGAAAAAGGCGACGACGTCAGCAGGAGTCAGCCACAAGAACTCTCGCTGATATGTCGGTCATGGGGCTCTTTGGAGGCCTCGTGACGCCGCCCTGCAGCCCTGCTGGAGCCATCTCGGGGCCCGTCGGCGCCTTCTTGGGGCACTCTCGGGGACCGTCGGGGGCTCTTTCGGGGCGACTTTGGAGTACTGGGATCAGAAATGGGAGCGGCGCAGATGTGCACCGTCTTTCCAGAGCCCGAGGTCTGGATTCTTATCTCTCTCTCCTAGGGCGTGTTTTTGGGCGATCGTGGGGTCACAGTATGGCCTGTTCTGGGCCCCGCTTGGGTTCTCTTGGGGGATCTGAGATCTACCTTGAGCCCCAGAGGCCCGCATTGAAAAGGGTGAGATGTTTGCAGGCTTCTGGCATATGAGAGGACTCCTTAGGAGGCTCCGTGGCCATTTGGAGCCGCCTTGGGGCTGTCTCGGTATCTCTTGGAGACATGTTGGAGGCCATCTTGAGCCAATTTTGAGCATCTGACGCCATGTGGGAAGCAATCTTACAGCATCTTAGACCGCATTGCAGCCATATTGACCTCAACAGCCACCAAAGGATGCTCCCGAAAGTCCCAACTCTTGTAACAACTTGTGCCGATTCCGTGATTTTACGAGGCGCACGATCAACAAAAACATATTTGGCGCACGAGCACAAATAAGCGATTGAAGCTGTCTTGGCACGGTCTTTGAGCGCTCTTGTGGGTCTTCGGAGCTGCCTTGGAGCCCCTCTCGGGGCCCTACCCTCTCTATGATGTTTGCGCTGGTGCCCAAGACGGCCCGAGAGGCCCCCAATATCGGTTCCATAGGACCAAAGAGATCCCCAGGAGGGCCCCGGGCGTCCCTAAGATGGTCCCGACCGGAGGAGGAGGAGAAGGAGGAGGAGGAGGAGGAGGAGGAGGAGGAGGAGGAGGAGGAGGAGGTGAGGGGAGGGGGGGAGGGGGAGGGGAGGGGAGGGGGAGGAGGAGAGGAGGGAGGAGGAGGAGGAGGAGGAGGAGGAGGAGGAGGAGGAGGAGGAGGAGGAGGAGGAGGAGGAGGAGGAGGAGGAGGAGGAGGAGGAGGGGGAGGGGGAGGGGGAGGAGGGGGAGGGGGAGGGAGGAGGAGGAGGAGGAGGAGGAGGAGGAGGAGGAGGAGGAGGAGGAGGAGGAGGAGGAGGAGGAGGAGGAGGCTCCCTGATGGCCCCAATAGGCCCCCAGGAACGCCCAATATCAGAGGCCCTCGAGAGGCCGCAAGGTGGTCCCCGAGACGCCCCCACGAGGCCCCCGAGAGGTCCTCGCGAGGCTCGGTGGGGCGAGGGGGGAGGGTCTTCCGGCGAGGAGAAGGGCGGAGACACCCAGACCCCCTCGAGTAATGAACAAATCATGACGGAAGGTTTTTCTGAATTTTCGGCCTCTGGGGGCCCTCACCGGGCCTCGGGAGCGTCAAAAAACGATTCAGGATGCAGAGCCGGTCATGGGGACAGGGTCGAGACCTCTGGGGGGCGACGTAACGAAAAAATCATTACGTCGGGGGTCTGGGCAGGTGGCACCTTCGCCGAAGGAAGAGGGAGAAATTAGGGGTCGAGAGATGAAGCGCCAGAAGCTACCTCCTCCCAGAGGGCTGGTAGGATCATTGGAGACATCGGCACCCGGAACGAATCACCTCGCTGCGCGCCCCAGGCCCTCAGCCCTGCGATCGCCGCAGCCTCTCAGCCATAGGACCTAGGCTCTAAGCCTCGGAAAACAGCAGGGAGGAAGCTGTGGACGAGGGAAAGTCCGCCTCATCCTCCTCGTCGCTCTGAGCTGCTCGCCTTCGAGGCACATAGGGGGAGGACCAACGAGGAGAGGGGGAGGAGGGGGAGGAGAGGGGGAGGATGCACAGGAGGAGGAGGAGGAGGAGGAGGAGGAGGAAGAAGAGGAGGAGGAGGATGAGGAGGAGGAGGAGGGGGAAGCGGAGGAGGTGGAGGAGGAGGAGGAGGAGGAGGAGGAGGAGGAGGGGGAGGAGGAGGAGGAGGAGGAGGAGGAGGAGGAGGAGGAGGAGGAGGAGGAGAAGGAGCTCATCATCCCCTCCCTTCACGCAGGTGCGCTCACGGCCGCGGTTCGGTCCCTTCCTGTTCCCCGCCCCCCGCGAACCCAGGCACTGGAGCGAGCGGCGAACCCCCTCGCCCAACCGAGGCACCCGGAGGCACCGAGCCGCGGCAGCGCCGATCCCAGAGCCCCCCCCCTTGGCCAACCCCCTTTGTCTTCTCCACCCCTTTTTCTCTTCCTTCTCCCCCCTCCTCCTATCCTCCTCTTCTTCTTCCTTCCCCTCCTTTCCTCCTCCCCTTTCCTCTCCTCCTCATCCTCCTCCTCCTCTCTCCTCCTCCTCCCCTCCCCCTCTCCCTGCCCATGCGATCCCTTCCTCCTCCATGTCCTCCTCCTCCTCCTCCTCCTTCTCCTCCTTCTTCTCCTCCTCCTCCTCCTCCTCCTCCTCCTCCTCCTCCTCCTCCTGCTCGTGTTCGTCCTCCTTCCCTGGCGGCGCCGATCCCGGGGCCGCGGCGGCTCCGCTGCCGTGTTCTTCTCTGGCGCGGCGTGGGCAGCTTACGCTGCGGAGCGCTCTGGCCGCTTGCGCACTTCGGTCCCCTCGACCCCCTCGAGCGATGACAAATGTTCGGCCTCCGGGGGACCTCCTCGGGCCTCGGGAGCGTCAGAGAACGCCTTGGGGTGCAACACGCCCCAGGGAAGGGGTCGATACTTCCAGGGACGCGCCCCGAGAAGATCCGGACGTCGCATGTCTGGGTCCGCTTCGCGGTAGAAGGAGGAGGAAAAGGAGGAGGAGGAGGAGGAGGAGGAGGAGGAGGAGGAGGAGCAGGAGCAGGAGGAGCAGGAGGAGTAGGAAGAGGAGGAGGAGAAGGAGGAGGAGGAGGAGGAGCAGGAGGAGTAGGAGGATGAGGAGGAGGAGGAGGAGGAGGAGGAGGAGCAGGAGCAGGAAGAGTAGTATTAGTAGTAGTAGTAGTAGTAGTAGTAGTAGTAGTAGTAGTAGTAGTAGTAGAGTAGTAGTTGTGTAGTAGTAGTAGTAGTCGTAGTTAGCGTAGCAGTAGTTCGTAGTAGTAGTAGTAGTAGTGTAGTAGTAGTAGAGTAGTAGTTAGTAGTAGTAGTAGTGTAGTAGTAGTAGTAGTAGTTAGTAGTAGTAGTAGTAGTAGTAGTAGTAGTTAGTAGTAGTAGTAGTGTGTAGTAGTAGTAAGTAGTAGTGGTAGTAGTTTAGTAGTAGTAGTAGTAGTTAGTCGTAGTAGTAGTAGTAGTAGTAGTAGTAGTAGTAGTAGTAGTGTAGTAGTAGTCGTAGTCGTAGTAGGAGTAGTAGTAGTAGTAGTAGTAGTAGTAGTAGGAGGAGGAGGAGGAGGTGTCGCGCCGCGGGTCTATGGGCCCCCAGCGCGGTGGCGCGGCACGCCAAGCGCACGTCGCCGCCCTCGCGAAGCGGGCACTGCCCGGCGTCCCGCCCCCACCCCGAGACGGAGCGGCACGCCGATACCGCTTGCCAGGCATAGCTCAGGAGGGGGAAAAAACACACAGACACAATCAATCGTCGATCCCCCGAAAATATGGGAAAACATGGGAAGTGGGGGTGCAGACACGAACCCAGAAAATATTGGAAAATATGGGGCATCCAGGCATTTGTGTCTATTTGTTTGTGTGTGTCCCAGGGCCTCTTCCATGGCGCGCGCCGCCCAAGGAAGGACACCCCATGGCCGCTCCGATCTATTTTCGCCTGCGCGGGCCCCAGAGATATCTGGACCACTCCCCCGGCCGGGCGGGCCTCCGCCCCACGCGTCGTAATGATCGTTCGGGGGCCACGTGTGGAGCCTGCCCCCCGCCCGCCGCTTCGGAAGAATCGTGGGGGGTGGGGGTAGGGCCCGCACGTGGTCCCCTATAGGTTTGCGACGTCACAAGCATAGGGGACCACTCCCTGATCTCCGACCACATTGAAGGACTATAAAAAAAACATGCAATAACTCATGATAATTTTACCTTATGATGTAAAACTCAAAGAAACTTGCTAAAACCTTATGCAAACGTTACGAAACTCTTTTAACCAAATCATTAAACACATAAATATATATATATATATATATATATATAAAAACAGCTCTACCTGGAAGGCCCGGAAGGTTGGAGGGCCAGGGACGGTCCCGAGGCCAGGCGAGGCCCCCTGGAGGCCGACAGCGCCCCACCGTCGGGGGCGCGCAGACACGGATCCCAGACCCCCTCGAGTAATGGAGGATGACGATTAATACATGACCGGGGGTCGTGTTCACTCGGCGGCGCCCGGGATGACGATTAGAAAAAACCGGCCGCGGGCTGGAAAACTACATTTTTTAAACGTTCTCCTCCAGTCAGAAAATTGCAGAAATTGCAGAAAACTATTTTTTAATCGATCTCCCCCATTTTTTATTAATCGTCATCCCGCATTAATGAAAAGATCATGACGGGAGGTTGTCCTTCATTTTCGGCCTCCGGGGGCCCTCACCGGGCCTCGGGAGCGTCAAAAAACGACTCAGCATGGAACGCCGGTCATGGGTAAAGGGTCGGGACCTCTGGGGGGTCGACGCCATGAAAAAGTCATTACGTCGGGGGGTCTGGGATTAGCGATCCATGGACTTGGCGCGCGGTCGCCACATCCATGGACCGGGGGGGGTGGGGGGGCCGCCCAAGATGCGGCCGGTGCTGCCTCGCTCGGCGGCGGCAGCCGCAGTGGGGTCCCATGGAAGCGGGGCCCGTCGCGAATCCACGCCCCCTTGCTCCATGCGTGTGATCGCCGGATTCAAGACCCTCCGCCCCCATGTTTGTTCCGCCCCCGTTTCCTTTTGCTGGGGCGTCGGGTCGCTTTCTCTCTCTCTCTCTCTCTCTCTCGCGCAGGGGACGCCGCCGCGACGCGCAGAGCGAACGGCCCCCGCCGCATACCCAGAGATCCAGCGTATTGAGAAAATCAAGGCGAAGGTCTTTCGCAAATTTCGGCCCCTGGGGGCCCTCGCTGGGCCTCGGGACTGTCAAAAAACGACTCAGGATGAAAAACCGGTCCTGGGGAAAGGGTCGAGACTTCCGGGGACCGCGCATTGAAAAAATCACGACCTCGGATCTTCGGGTAGTTCCTTGTATCGACCTGGCCCGTCCGCCCCCCGGCAGGATGCCAGCGGCGCCGGGGCCGGCGGCCGCGTCGTGCTCTTCGTCAATGCGATCTCGACGGTGCTGAGGCTCACGTCGGTGCTGGCGCTGCTGCTGGAGAGACTCTCCCCGCTGCTGGGCGGTGGCCGCCCCCTGAGATCCGACGCCCCGGAAAAGGTGAGGGTCATATTCAAGCAGTGGCGAAGCGTCCTTGCGTGCCTGAATGCCTACCAAACAATGTTCAAAGAACCTTTTGTGGTTTCCACGAAATGTTCTTAGTACATGTCTGGCTGGGATTGTCCTCTTTTAACGCATCGGGCCTACGTTCTAAGAACACAGCTTTTGTTCTTAGAACATTTTTGGGTTCTAGGAATGCCGGGACGGTCGGTAACCGGTTACCTGCTCAACATATCGCGAGAAATCACGGCCGGGGCTTTATAGGCTCCATCGCTCTCTCTGCGCCGTTTTTCGAGTTGGCTCGATCTGTGGCTCCGCGCGGATTTCTTGGAGCCGCGCTGGGCCCCCCCCGGCGGCGCCTCCGGCGCCGCCCCTGGCGCGCCCCAGGGCGGATCCAGAAATTACGCGCGGAGCGCCAACAGTTTGTGCTTGTGGCGTTGTTCTGCTTCTGGTGAGGGTCCCGGGCCTCGAATCTGGGCGCAAAAAAAGGAGCCCTGCTCGAAGAAAGATGAGGCGCCAGGATCTCAGGGGAAAGCGAGGCGCGATCGCCCAGGCGTGCACAGCCCAGGGGCATCGGGGCAGGGGGTGGTCAGGGGCCGCTCCTGGCTCCGGCCTCCCGTCTTCGCGCCTGAGTTGCCCCGCCTTGCACTCAATTCGGTCTTTCCCGGATCACATTCTGCCCCATGCAGATGCTGCGAGCGCGTTCCGTCACTCGCAAAGTGCCTACTCGCAAACGTCCTAAGCAAAAACAGTCTGGTGGATCGCACATCCCCCGCGGTGGACCCAGGGCATCTGTGAGTAGTTACTTTGCGAGTAGCGGAACGCGCTTGTCTAGTCCAGCGCACGCCAGATACAAGAGTTGTTCGAACTCCAGCGATTCCATGGTCTTCCCAGATCACACTTGGGGACCAATCAGGGTCCTAATTACTCGGACAAGGTCTATCCTTATGTTGCATCCTCGGGGGACCTTGACTGTCCCGTCGCGGCCCTATCCGCGTCGAATCCGTGTCAAGTCCATGTCGGCCTGGTCGAATCCGTGTCGGATCCGTGTCGAATTTGTGTCGAATCCATGTCGAATCCGCATCGACTTTACACCAAATTCGCGTCGAGTCCGCATCGAGCCCGCGTCGGGCACACGAAAAGATACATTTGGAGGACAGGCGTGGTCCCCCGAAGATGCCACGTTACCATCCCAGATCATTCGGTGCCAGTTGTGGGCTCTGTGTGCTTTCCTGTGCTCTCTGCGGCACTCCGCCGGAGCATGGGCCGCTGCACGTCGCAGCGAGAGACCTGCACATCGTCCGAGGGGTCTGCCTTCCCCCCCTCGCCTCCGCGGTCGCCGTCTTTATCTCCCCCCACATGCATTTGCCGTGTACCAATTCCCAGACCCCCTCGAGTCGTGAAAAAAACACGACCAGAGGTTTTTCTGTCTATTTTCGGCCCCTGGGGGCCCTTCATAGGCCTCGGGGCCGTCCAAAAAACGACTCAGGATGGACCCGTTCCAGGGAAGGGGTCTCGGACCTCTGGGCCCAGACCCCCGACGTCATGATTGCTTCACGACGTGGACCTCCCAGAGTTCTCGACCCCCTCCTTGGGACCGGCTTCTCACCCCGAGCCGTTTTGGTTGACGGCCCCGAGGCCCGGCGAGGGCACCCAGAGGCTGAAAAGGACGAACAACCTCCCGTCGTGATCTTTGTCATGGCCCGAGGGGACCTTTGGGGGGGGGGGGTCGACGCTGCGGAAGGACCACGACGTCGGGGGCCTGGGGACCTGCGGTGCGCCAGCTCGCGGCGCAGCCGCCTGCCTGCCTGCCCGACCGCTGCGCGCGAGCGCCGGGCCCCTCGGCACGATCGGTGCGCCTGCCTCCCGGGCGACTCCTCCCGCGGGCCCTCTCGCTCGATGTGGACCCCTTCCTCGAGGCCCCCCACGCGCCCCCCCCGCGCGGCGGAAGGCCGCTGCCTGCCTCGCGGCCTCGCGGCACGCCCGCCGGGCCCCGAGGGCCAGCCAGATAAGGCCCGTCGGCAGGCAAGGCCGGTTCCCCGGGAGGGAGTCCAGACCTCCAGAGGGAGAGCCACGCTCCCAGACCCCCTCGAGTAATGAAAAAATCATGACGGGAGGTTTTTCTGAATTTTCGGCCCCCGGGGGCCCTCACCGGGCCTCGGGAGCGTCAAAAAACGACCCAGGATGCAAAGCCGGTCATGGGGACAGGGTCGGGACCTCTGGGGGTCGACGTAATGAAAAAATCATTACGTCGGGGGTCTGGGGAGGGAGAGCCACGCAGCGTGCACGGCGCAGTGACGCCGGGCGTCCGGGCAGGCAGGCTCCTCCGCGGCCGCCCTCTTCTTCCCTGGGCTTCCGTCTGCTTCACGCCTGCCCCGTTTCGCTCCGTTCGCCAGCGCAGTGTTTCTGCACAAAATGGAGGATGACGATTAATAAATGACCGGGGGTCGTGTTCACGCGGCGGCGCCCGGGATGACGATTAGAAAAAACCGGCCGCGGGCTGGAGAACTATTTCTTTAATCGTTCTCCTCCAGTCCGGAAGTTGCGCAGAAATAGCAGGAAACTATTTGTTTAATCTTTCTCTCTCATTTTTTTATGAATCGTCATCCCGCATTAGCCGCCGAGGCAAAAGTGTGCCAGCAGCCCCAGCGTGGCCCGCCAGCCAGCAGAAATCGACGATGAGCGCTCGCCCTCGCCGCCGACCCGGGCATGCCGCTGCCCCCGTGGGAGCCGCCAGGCGTCCGAGCGGCAGCCAGGCCACCTCCTTCCCTCAGCGCTGCGGTGGCATGACGAGTGCTTCCGAGCCCTCCTTCTGCTGTTGAGCTCGGGCCCTCGCCTCGGGACCGCGGCGCCGCGCCCCAGCTCACTCAATCCTCCTCCCCCTCCTCCTCCTCCTCCTCCTCCTCCTCCTCCCTCCTCCTCTCCTCCTCACTCTCCTCCTCCCTCCCTCATCCCCTCGCCCCCCTCCTCCTCCTCCTCCTCCTCCTGCTCCTCCTCCTCCTCCTCCTCCTCCTCCTCCTCCTCCTCCTCCTCCTTCCTGCCGCCGCCAAATCTGGCACAACCCTCACGCAGGTTGCCCCCCCTTATAGTAGGGAGCTCATGCTACAACTTCCAGCGAGGGTGGCTATATCCGATTGCACGCTCATTTCGGCGCAGCCTACCACGAGGGTCGTGCCCCACATGGAGCTCCAGCCACAGCTCCAGTGAGGGTAACCCTGTTTGGTTCCACACGCATTTCGGTGCAACCCCCACGAATATCGTGCCCACAGCGACCGCTAACTACAGTTCAGCTCGGGTGGCCCATTCTGGTGCCTCGCCCATGTCGGCGCACCCCTCACGAGAATCGTGGCCCATCAGGGGCTCCTCCTCCTACGGCCCCACTTGGGAGCGTCCACATGCGCAAACCTCGCCGATATCGGCACGCCCGTGACGCCGATCGTGCCCCGTAACGACCTCCGACCACAGCCCCAGTGAGCGCGTCCCTACTCCGTCCACGCCTCAGTTCAGCACACCACCCCTCGCGCGGATCGAGCCGCCAAGGGTGCTCCAACTACGGCCCCAGCGCGTCTCTTTCGCTTTTTCACCGTGAGGCTGACATGCATGGGGGCGTGTTTTCTATCATTGTGAACGTTTCCTCCGCTGCGTCGTGTCGGTTTCTTCCTTTCTCTCTCTCTCTCTCTCTTCCCCGGTGGGTGCCTTGATGCGCTTCTGCGCGACATGCTTTGCCGTCTGCATGCTATCGGCGGAGCCCCTATCGCCCTCTCCGTGCCCCCATCAAGCGGGTACTCTTCCCTGCGCCGCCTCGCGTCTGTGGAGGGTTCGTTATGCGTTCTGGTCTTCGCCCCGGGAGGCCTCCGGGTACCTACAGGGGCCTCTTGGGACCTCTGCGGGGCCCAGATGCGTCTGCGGCCCCCCCCCCTCCCCCCCTTGTCCCATGTGGTACTCTCTTGTGGCCCTGTCGTGATATTGTTGGCACCCTCCTCACGACACGGTGTTAGGGAGAACGCGGCACGAGCATAAGCTTCGGCGCTCCGCGCAGAGTTCTTGGGTCGGCGCCTGGATCCCGCTGGCGGCGCCCCAGGCGCCGACCCACGGCATCCGCGCGGAGCTTTTGAAGTTTTCCGGGCGAGCGGTGCAGCCATGTGCAGTTGCGAGTGCCGCGCTGTGGATAAGTAGCGCTTTTCGGTGGAGCTCCCTACGGTGGGCCACGAAACGCGTGAGGGGCGAGGGGTGTCCTGTAGTGGGCGGGGCAGCCGCATGCGGCCGCGGCCACCGGAGCGTTCGGTGGAGCTCCCTATCGGGCCACGAAGCGTCGTACGGGGTGGCAGAGACGCATGTGGCCGCGGCCACTAGGGCCTTCCGTGAAACTCGCTTCGCTCATTCCGCCGGCCACTATTGTGCTATCGCAGGCGTTTGCCTGTTCGTTCGTGGCCTTTTGAGCCTTCTTGGGGGCGGGCCTATTGGGGCCTTTGGGGGGGCCTCCTGGGAGCCTCATGGGGGCCTCCAGGGGGCCTCCTGGGGGCCTCCTGGGCTTCCTTGGGGGCCTCCAGGGGTCCTCCTGGGGGCCTCTTGGGGCGGAAGGCTCGAATTGGTGGTTCGTGTTTCCCCTCTTGGGGCCCCTCTTGGGGCCGTCTTGGGGCACTCTTGGGGGACCTTGGGCGGGCTTTGGAGGCCCTCTTGTGGACTGTCTTGGGGCCCTCTTGGGGGCCTCTCGGGCCGTCTTGGGCCGGTCTTGGAGCGTCGGAGGCCCGAAAATAATGAAAACACTCAAGGCAAATCAACGAGTATTGCGTCTTCTGGCCCTCTTTGAGGTCCTTCATGGAGCGCTCTTGGGGCTTTTTGGGGGCCTCTTGGGCCGTCTATCCGATTCGTGGGTTATCCGATTCGTGGGCCCTTTTGGAGCTGCCCTGAGGTTCCTTGGGTTGCTCCTGGGGTGATCTGGAGGGCCCCGAAAACCGCCCCCTGCAGCAAAACCAAGTCTGATCCGAGTCTGCCAGGACCTTGGGGCCCCAGGCGGCCCCCCTAGAATAGATCGACCGAGGCCTGTACACTTCTGAATAGAAACCGCTTGCTTCGCCCATGGCCCAGAGGGCTGTCGTGAGTGACGTCGGGGGTTCTTGGCCTCACAGGAGATTGATGCAGCTTCTTTGAGACTCTTGGCAGCCTGTGGGGGGCCTGCGGGCCATCTTGGAGAGATCTTGTGGCCGTCTCGGGAAAGCCAGGGGCGATCCGTGGAGGCCCTGAAGCCGTCTACTGGGCGTTTTGTTGGGCCAGTCCTGTGACCGTCTCAGGGCCGTCATGCTGGGCCGTCGCGCTGTCTTGGGGCCATATTGGGGTCGTTGGGGCCGATTTGGAGCAGTATCAGGGGCATTTTGGGGTCTCTTGCAGCAGGCGGGATCGAACAAATGTGACATGCAGATCTGTCCGCGGTGCTTGGGGGTCTCTCACGGGGCTGCTGGACGGCCTCTTGGCAGCCTTGTGGGGCTTGCGCGCCTCCTTGGGACCCCTTGAGCGCCCGCTGATGTCTTCTTTGGGGCCTATCGTGCCTCTATCGAGGCATTGCTCGGTCCTCTTAGCGGCCTGCATGGGCCGTCGCGCAAACCACCCTAGGCATTTTGGGGGCGAGACGCACAGCTGCCTCCACTTCCCAGAACCCCGACGTCAAGTTTCTTTTTAGAACGTTGACCCCCAGAGGTCTCGACCCCTTTCCCTGGGACGGCCTCTCATTTCGAGCCGTTTCTTGACTGCCCTGAGGCCTGGTGAGAGCCCTCCGAGGCGAGAACAGCGAAGCACCTCCCGCCGTGATTTTGTCATGGCTCCGGGGGGCCCCTGTGCTTCCTGCACCCCGGGAGCGTCCCAGCGCAGGGGCCTCCGAAGCAGGTCCACCCCACGATCACGCCAGGCGTCCTCGGCGGAAGCCAGTCTCAACACATGCAGGTGCTTTATGTAGAGATTCGGGTGCTTCATAATGATCCTCCTCCTCCTCCTCCTCCTCCTCCTCCTCCTCCTCCTCCTCTTTCTCCTCCTCCTCCTCCTCCTCCTCCTCCTCCTCCTCCTCCTGGGACTGGGCCGTGCTGCTCGGCCGCTCGGCGCGCGCGCGCGCTTGGCATATGCGGGGGGCGTGCGCGCGGACGTGGCGCGAGCGCGCCCCACCCCGCTCCGCGAGGCGCGCGGGCGCGTGCGAGCTCCCAGGGGCCTCGTGGCCCGAGTCGCGCGACCCTGAGATCCCCGCGGCGCGATTTTCGTCACGCTGGGCGTGTTCCCTCCGTTTCTTTGTGTTCGCGCTGCCTTTGGCTTAATTAGTCTCTGCGTAGCCCGCTCTGACCTGACTCGCCGCCGGCGCGCTCGCCCGCGGCCGCTGACTAAAAGAGTGTTCCCTCCATTTCGGCCCCCGCGGGACCCTAGCAGATCGACCCGGCTCGGAAAATGGCGCAGAAAGATGGTGTCGGGGGCTCCGGTCGTGATGCTTCGCGATGTCTCGAGCACTTTCTTTGGGTAGAGGGCGAAGGGTGGAATCTGAAATGCCGTTTCGGTTGATTTTCGAGGTTTGAATGTGCAAATGGTGAATCACAAGACGGATTGGTTTTCGAGGTGCAAAAGCCCATATGGATTTCACCCTGAGCCCTCCACTCTCAGAAAATGCACCGGATGTTGCATTTTTGGTTGCAACGTCGGATCTCAGAGGAGTGCGGTAAGCTCGTGTTGTGACCACGCGTCGGCGATGCCAGCGCGGGCGTTCACGCAAGGCGGCTACGCATAATTTCACAGGAGTGGCCTTTTGCCAGAGTGGCCTCTGGTGCGGGCCCATAATGCGGTAGTATCGTCTTCAACGCCCGGGGGTTGGCCTCCCCGCGGCCCCCCAAAAAGACGTGCGCAGGAGGTCACTCTGACCCAGGGGCCACTTTTGCGTGTCCCTGAGATCCGACGTTCCCAAACACTGCACCATTGCAAAAGATCACGGCCGGAGCCGCGGACCCCACCTGTCTGCGCAATTTTTCGAACCGGATCGATCTGCGAGGGTCCCAGGGCACGGAACTGAGCGAAAGCGTTCACTGTGACAGAATCTGCAGCGCCAGGATCTCAGGGAAGGTCGAACGCCGCCGCCGCCCCAGAGTCCGCCAATGCGGAGCGACTGGCGATCGACGGGCCGTCGATCGCGCAAGGCTCCACGACCCGCCGCGCAGGGGCGCTCACGGCACGCCGTGTGGCTGCAGCAGCACGCGTGACTGGGCGTGGAGGGTCGGGGCCATCTGCCGGTCCTCGACTTGGAGATCGCCTACAGAATTGAGTCACCCCAGACTTTGAGTCTGTCTGGGGGTCAGAGATCGGCCTCGACTGCAGAACCCCAAAAGTAGGTGGCGACACTGGGTAGCGGCAGCCGTGGACGACAGGCGCGAGGCGAGGAAGGTTGGGCCGCCCATTTCGAAGGGGGGCCGCGGGGTGAGGAACTTTACAAGTGTCCTTGCCCCTCTTGTGGTTCTTGTCGCTGGATCTACGAACAAAGAATATCATGTTCCCAGACCCCCTCGGGTCATGACAAAATGCATGCCCGAGGGTGTTTGGCTATGTTCCGCTCTCGGGACCTTCAAGAACCGAATCAGGATGGGAAGCCGGTCCTGAAGAATCGGTCGAGACCCTCAGGGTCGACCTTATTTCAAACTCATGACGTCGGGGGTCTGGGTGTGTAACGTTCGTCGAAGGGTCGGCAGTAGAACCCGTTTTGGGCCAATTCCGTTCTGCAGTCGATCTCCTGCCCGAAGTCCCTTCCCAGACATTTGGTCGCTCCACCTTGTGGAGTCCAAAACCCTGATAGCCAAGCGCCAAGAAGCGATTTCAAAGCCTCGGGGAAGATATGTGGAAGCTCCAAAAAGAAGCTCCCGAAGGAGCTCCTGGAGAGCTTGACAGCATGTCCCCTCCCAGACATCTGGCCGCTCCAGGGGGCCGGTGTTTCGTCTTGAGTCGTTGCTTGACGCTCCCGAGGCCCCGCGAGGGCCCCCGGAGTTTGAAAGCCCAGCGAGGGCCCCCGGAGGCCGAAAGCGGCCCCAAGTTTGCCGCTCCAATGTCTTGTTGGAGCGTCGGACCCAGACCCTCGACGTCATGCTTTTTTCAGAACGTTGACCCCCAGGGGTCTCGACCCCTTCCGCTGGGCCGGTTTCTCGTGCCGAGTCGTTTTTTGAAGGTCCCGAGGCCCGGTAAGGGCCCCCGGAGGCCCAACATAACGAAAGACCTTCCGTCATGCTTGTTTCATGGCCCGAGGGGGCCGGGGGATCTCTGGGCTGGTCTAGGCCTCCTGGATGGGGTCCGAGCAGATGGGGTCGGAGGATCGCGCCGCATCGCCGATGCCTCGCCCATGCGGCTCGATGCGGCGCCCGATGTTCTTCACGCGCACGTCGCCGACGCATCGCCGACGCATCGGCCGACGCCAGTGCATGGCCGATGCGTCGCCGATGCATCGGCGATGCGGCGAGATCCTCCGACACCATCTGCTCGGACAAGATCCTTGGCATCGCTCGGACGTGTGCATTTTTCCTTCGGCGAGGACCATCGAGGAGCATCCTTGATCACTTGGCGAAAAAAACACGCACGAAACCGAAAAACACAGGGAATGGACGTCCGAGCGATGGCGAGGATCTGGGAGGCCTCCATGGCGCGCGCCCGCTCCCCCCGAGGAGAGCCCGAGCGCCGCCAAGGTCCTGTCCAGAGTGAAGATGAGCAGCGGCCCAGGCGAGCGCGGGGGCGCACGCACGCCGCGCTGCGGCAGCGCGCTGCTGTGCGGCAGCGCGCTGCTGTGCCGCCGCGCCCCAGAGGGGCCCACGGAGCACTGGAGTACCGGGAGCGGTTGGAGTGGAGGGCTTCTCCGAAGGGCTTAGGCGAACCGTCCTCCTCCCTCCTCCTCCTCCTCCTCCTCCTCCTCCTCCTTCTCCTCCTCCTCCTCCTGGCATTACTGCAGGGTGATGAATGGGGGAAACAAGTGATCATCACGGAGGCCACCAGAGTGTATCCTCGATGCCCCGACCTACAACATACCGTGACTACCAGTATGCTCTACCCCACATACACTTCGAGGGGGAACAGTTGGATACTTCAACAGGGTATCAGAGTACAGGTGCGACAACGCATGGGACAACGATCGGCCAGTTCGATGTGGAAGAGCAGTGAGCCGAGCGAGAGAGGAGAGAATCGGTTATAATCAAATCAGTAGGGTAATCCGGCCCCCAAGCACAAGTTTGGGAAGCACGGGCCTCCCGACCCTCCTTCCCTCCTCCTTTTGAGTTGTCGTGTCGTCGTCTCCTCCCCCCCTAGCTTGGGCGCGCTGCTAAGCCTGCGCGTCCCCACCCCTTGGGCGCGCGGAAGGGCCAGCAGCTGCCCCCCCCGCACTGACCCGCAGGGACTCGCAATCGTAATATAGCGAGCCTGTCTTACGGGGGCACCTCGGAGTTCACTCCTTGAGCAACGGGGAATGCCCCCTGCCGGCCCTGGTGAAAAGGCAGGGCCGTTGCACAACCAATCGCAGGGGATTTTGCCAGAAGCGCGCGAGGCACCACAGTATGTGTTTTGACGCTGAACCCGCTTATGCGGATGTCCTGTCCTGTCCTGTCCTGTCCTGTCCTGTCCTGTCCTGTCCTCCTCCTCCTCCTCCTCCTCCTCCTCCTCCTCCTCCTCCTTATCCCTCCTCCTCCTCCTCCTTCTCCTCCTTCTCGTCCTCCTCCATTTCCTCCTCCTCCTCCTCCTCCTCCTCCCTCCTCCTCCTCTTTCTCCTCCTCCTCCTCCTCCTCCTCCTCCTCCTCCTCCTCCTCCTCCTCCTCCTCCTCCTCCTCCTCCCCCCCGGGTCGCCTACGGCCCCGGGGGAAACCGTGCAGCTCGGAGACGGGGGTCAATGCAAAACCAGACCCCTCCATCGTGTTGTGAACAACATCGCGACGGGAGGTTTTTCTGCATTTTCGGCCTCGGGGGGCTTTTGCCAGGCCCCATGATGGTCACAAAATGAGTCGGGATGAAAAATCGCTCCCAGGAAAAGGTCGAGACCCCAGGTGGTCGACGTTGCAAACAAATTCACGACTTCGGTCCATGCAAACGGGGGGCAGCCAGAGCACCGGACCTTGCACGATCCTGCAGAGCCAGGGGTGCACTGGCATAGGCTAGCGCGCAGGATCCTGTAGTTGCAGGCTTCTAGAAAGCCTGACTTGCCCAGCGGTGCACTGACCCGGGTCAGTAGAAGCCCGAGAGTGTGTCAACATTTCTTGTGGTTCTGTTCGATGACGGATGCAGTTTTCAGATCTGACCCCTGTAGCTAATTGGCCTTCGGAATGGCCGTTTCGTCGCCAATGCCTCCCGGAACATTGCCGCGTTCGGACCCTAGCAGGGGTCCGGGGACCAAGTTTGAGTTGCCGTTGCTTCAACTCGCCATGCTCAGACTTTCAGCCGCCGATGATGGAGACCACGGCAACATGGGTCTTTAGCGGCACTTTTTACCATACGAGCAGGGCGCCCCGAGGCCGCGGAGAGAGGAGGAGGAGGAGGAGGAGGAGGAGGAGGAGGAGGAGGAGGAGGCGAAGGAGGAGGTGCACCGAACGAACCAATAAATCAGCAACTCGTTAGTCTGGAGGCCCCGGCTGGGCCTGCCGCCGTGCCTCCAGGGCGGCGCGCCAGGCCTCTGTGCCACCGCCGGCACGCACCGCCGGCGTCAGCGCCAGCGTCCACCCTGGGCAGGGCCTCGCCGGCAGCTGCGCCCACCGTGCCGCCGAGGCGCCGCAGCGCAGGCGCGCCACCCAGGCTGGGCCCAGCCCTGCGCCGCTACGTGCGCCCTCCACGCGGCGTGCGCTGCCTCGGCCGGCGGCCCCGGTTTGTGGGCGCGGCGGCGGAGGGGCAGCCGGCGCCGCTGGCGGGCGCCGAGCTTTCCTGGCGGCGAAGCCAAAGGCGCGCGACCGTCCAGCGGCGGCGCACGCGCGGGCCCTCGGACCCGCGGCTCTCGTGGTTGGCTCGCAAGGCCGCCAGCTCGACCGCGGCGAGCACGCGCTGCGCTGCGGCCAGCGCCGTCAGCTGGAAATCGCGTTCCAAAAAGAGCGCGGGCGGGGAGAGGCGGTCCCTGGCCGCTGCGCCCGCCAGGCGGGCGGCGGCCGCATTGCCCTACAGCCTCCGGGCGAGCGCTTCCTTGGCAGTCGTGTGACCCTCGACCCATCGCGCCGTGAGGAACCCTTTTCGGCTGTGCTCCGCGATACGCTCGGAATGCGCCCGATCGAGGCAGCACGCGCCGGCGCGCAGGGCGGCTGCGACATGGCGGACGAAGCGGGTGCCCGTGATATCTCTACGAGCGCCCCCGAAAGGCTGAGCTACTGGGGCCGCGGCGGTCAGCTCAGCCCGCTGCGCAGCTTGCGCCGCGTCCACCGGCCCGCTGTGGTCGCTCGTGCCGCGGGGCCCTTCCAGACGCAGTCCCCAGGCCGCCTGGGCCATCAGCGGGCTCTGTGGCCGCACGCGCGACCCGTCGGTCCAAGCCCTCCTGTGCGGCTGGGGCGGCGCGGGCATCTGGGAGGCTGGGAGCGGGGCTGGCGGCAAGGCCCGCGTGGCCTCCTGGGCGAGGGCGGCGAGCTGGACGTCCTTCGCCCCTTCGCAAGCACGCCCGTGTACGACACGCTCGGCGGCAGCCGCGCGCGCGCGCAACGCGACATGCGAGATCCCTGCCGTCGCCAGGGCGGCGGCCCTGTCGGCGCCCCAAGCTGGGCAGACCCAAAAGCGGGTCTCGCGGTCCTCGCAGGCGGCGCCGCAGTGCGGGCATGTGGCCAGCTTGTCCCATTCCGCCGCCACCGATCCCGCAACCCGGACCCCCGACGTCATGATCCTTTTATGTCGTCGATCCCCAGAGTTCTCGACCCCTTCCCCGGGACCCGGTTCCTCACCCCGAGTCGTTTCTTGACGACCCCGCGGGGCCCCGCGAGGGCACCCAGAGGCCGAACATGACGAAACACCTCCCGTCATGATTCTTTCAGGATCCCGACGGGGGTCTGGGACCGACGCTTCCAGACAGCCCTGCGCGCCATGCCCCAGGCGCGTCCGGCGCGAAGGCCCCCGACGCCCGCAGCCGCCTGTCGGTCCACACCGCGCGCGCGCCATGCGCGAAGTCGGCCCTTCTGCCTGCCACGGCGGCCGCCTCCCGGCGCGCCCAGGCCTCAATGGGGCACGGCGCGCGTCGAGCTGGAGCGTTTGGTGGGCCGGGCGCCCACCGTCCGGGTAAGCAGGGACGCTGCGTTTCGAGCACGATCGTCCGTTGTCGATTGCACGTGCCTTTGTGCCGACCTTCTCCGTACCGCCGCATCCTGCGCCGAAGTTCGTTATACGGCGTGCGCCCTGCGCCAGTTCTCCGAGAGCGCCATGACACGCACGTGCCACAGCACGCACGGGCGCCAGTCTGCGCGGGGAGGAGGAGGGAGTGGAGGCGGATGGGCCATCCCGGACGGAGTCCGGTCTGGCGCGGCCCCAGGGGGCGCCCGTGCTGTGTGGCGCGAGGCTGTCACCGAGCACCAGGCCTTGCCATGGTGCCCCTGCTCCGCCAGCGCTGTGCGGGGCAGAGGGGAGATTCAGCTGCTGCGGCCGAGTGGCTATGGGAAGGGAGGCGGAGGGAGGAAGAGGGAGGGAGGAGGATCGAGGGACGGAGGGAGGGAGGGGGGGCGAAGACGAGGAGGAGGAGGAAGAGGAGGAAGAGGAGGAGGGGGAGGGAGATCACTGACGAAGTTGGCGCAGCGCGTCGCCGAGGCGAGGGCAAGGACTCCCCCGCCTTGAAGGTGGACGTCATCGGCCTGCATTCGCGCATGAGGCAGAAGGACCGACAGCAGACCGGGGCTGAGGGCCATCTTGTGTCGGCCCGAGTCCTGGGTGGCGTCCGTGGCGCGATTGCCAGGGCATCCAGCACCACTCCCTCCCTCCCCTCCTCCTCTCCTCTCTTGGCTTCTTCTTTCTCCTCCTCCCTTTCTACGCTGTGGTCCTCCTCCTCCTCCTCCTCCTCCTCCTCCTCCTCCTTCTGCTCCTCCTCCTACCCTGTGGTGAGCTCATGGACAGGAGCGTTTGCGGCTGCTCAGGAACTGTCGGCGGCGGCGGCGGCGGAGTGGCGGCGCCCCTCCTCCACAGGGCTTTCGCTCGATCCCTCACCCCGTCCCCCTTCCCCGACTGCTTCCCCTGTCTCAGCGAGCGAAGAACGGTATAAAATCAACTTTTTCGCTGTCGGGGGCCTCTGTCCCTGGGCGGCTGGAAAGTTTATACCCCTACGGTGCCACCGTAGGGGTACAAACTTTCCAGCCGCCCTGGGTCAGGCGCCCCCGACAGCGAAAAAGTTTATTTTACACCGTTCTTCGCCCGTTAACTGTCTCCTGGCTCATTGTCCGTCCTCGTGGTTCCAGCACGTGCCGCCCCTCCCCGCAGCGAAACTGCAGGAGAGATTGGAGGATCTGCGGGATCTACTGGTCAGGGCTCCACCGGGCCCTCGACGACGTCAGCTCGAATGCCGAGTGCCCCACTGTACAGCAGTTTCTGTGGATGCCCTGATTCTGACGAGCTCCCGCATTATCTGGTTTGGCCCCGCTTTCTCCACCTCGTCGCTTCTGCTCGTGGTGTCCTTCCTGCCTCCCCGCTCGCTCGTCTGGATCCTCGGCGGCTGTGCCATTCAGCTTGTAGTTCAGAGCTGTCATGTGTCGGCGCGTTGTTTGTTCCGACGCGCGGCCTTCGTCTTTCAGAGGGTGCCGCGGGCACCAGGGCAAACGCCGCCGCGGGCGCGGTGGGTTTGTCCTGGGCTTGCCGCGGTGCCGGCGTCGTCTCCCTGTGGCGCGGGACGCAGCGCCTGCCGGGGCTCTGCCGTGGTGTCGGCGTCGTCCATTTTGAGCGCGTCGAGGACAAGCGGCGCGGCGACATGAGGCGTTCCCAAAGTGGCCGTGCCTTCAAGCCTCGCTGCCTTCTTGTTCCTTTCTGCCTCTGTCTCTTCCCCCTCTGCCTCGTCCTTTTCTTCATCTCGCGCCCATGCCTCCCGTCGGCTGCACTGCGGTTTTTCTATGCACACCATCGATTTTAAGGTTATTGCACGATGTGTCCAGAGCACCCCCAAAAAATGGCCGTGCCTTCAAGGATCGAAGGAGCTGTAATCTCTTCCGCCGCGGAAGGCGGCGGGAGGTCGGCGGAGGTAAAACGAGGCCGCCTCTGCCGACGGAAGCCGGCGGACGGGCGGCAGAAGGCGGCAGAAGTACAAGATGTGCCCCCAAGAGATGAACAACAACCTCCCTCCTACCTCCTCCCTCCCTCCTCCTTCCGTCCTCCGTCATCCTTCCTATTCCTCCTCATCCTCCTCCTCCTCCTTTCTCCTCCTTCTCCTCCTTCTCCTCCTCCTCCTCCTCCTCCTCCTCCTCCTCCTCCTGCATCGGCCACGTAGGGATCGCACACTGAAAGCTGACTTGGCTTGTCGGCCTGCCCTTGCTGTGTCGCCACGGCGCCTCTACGAATCTTGCGCGCCGCCGCCCTCGCAGCAAGGCAGTGCTAGAGGGCCACGGCGCGGCACCGGAGCTGACGCTCCTCCTTCTTCTCCTCCCCCTCCCCCTCCTCCATCCTCCCTCCTCCTCCTCCTCCTCCTCCTCCTCATCCTCACTCCTCCTCCCCCTCCTCCCTCTTGGTGAGCGGTATCTTCTGCCCCCACCTTCTCCTCTCCCTCCCTCCCTCCTCCCTACTCCTCCTCCTCCTCCTTCCCCCCTCCTCCTCCTCTTGGTACGGTCGCTCCCCTCCTCTCCTCCTCCTCCTCCTCCTCCCTCCTCTCCTCCCCTCCTCCTCTTCCTCCTCCTTTGAAGACCCCCCTTGGGCCACTCGACGTCCCCTCCTTTCCTCCTCTCGTCCTCTCCTCCCCCTCCTCTCTTCCTCTCTTCTCCTTCCTCCCCTCTCCTGTTCCCCCTCCTTAGTCTCTCCTCCCTCCGCCCCCACCCGTCCCTCCCTCCCCCTTCCCCCCGGTCGTATAACTCCAGGCCCGAGGTTCGGAGCACCCCCCCCCCCAGCTGCCCCGCGCGTGCGGGGCGGTGGGGGGGCGGGGACCTTGCCGCGCGTCGTCACGTGCGCTCGCGACCGCGGGCCGCCATACGTGTGAGCGACGAAAGAAATCGGGGCCGATCCGAGGGAGGAGGAGGAGGGAGGAGGAGGAGGAGGAGGAGGAGGAGGAGGAGGAGGATGAGGAGGGGAGGAGAAGGAGGAGGAGGAGGAGGAGGACGAGGACGAGGACGAGGAGGACGGGGAGGGGGGGAGGAGGAGGAGGAGGAGGAGGAGGAGGAGGAGGAGGAGGAGGAGGAGGAGGAGGAGGAGGAGGAGAAACCACCTCGACCCCGATGATTGGCGTCAACTTGGAGGCGGCGCCCGTTTGGTTCGCCCCCGCTCCCCTGGACGTGCGCCGCTGCCGTGCGATGGGAGGGGGGGAGCCGTGCGCCTCCGAGGTGCACAGCCCTCCTCCCTCTCGCCCTCTCTCTCCCTCACTCTTCAAGGGAGGAAAACCACCCCGACCCCGACAAGTGGCGTTTGCTAAACGACCCATGTGCGTTTACGGACCAGCCCTGCTCTGTGCGATCCCGTCCTTGGGCGCGTTTGCTCAACGGCTCCGCGTGTCGGGATAAATCACATGAGGGTGGATGTTTGTTCTTGATCGATAGCGCCGACATTGGCGCGGAAGCTGCCCGCGTCAGGTCGCGCGCAGAGCGCCCTCGCCTCCACTGTGGCGCACCGCGCTGGCGGCCCTCGTACGCCACCGCGTCAGGTCGCTGTGCCATCCTGCGCGCAAGACCCGCTTGCTTTCGTCGCTCGTTGTGGCCTCTGCCCTTGCCCGGCGGCCCGGCGCGATGCGCGGCGCGGCGGCGGCGCGCCGGCGGTCGGCCTGGTTGGAAGGGGCCTGGGAATACCACGGGCAACGCTACGGGGCGATCCTCGGCCTGGGGAGAGGAGGGCATTCGCCATCGTAGAGGAGGCGGGGGTCCTGAGGGAGGGGGGCCCCGATGCTTCTCTCAGTGCTCGGGCTCTCGCGGCCCTCCACGGGCCAGGGGGCTGCCCGAGAACGGTGCAGGGCGAAGAGGTGGTCCCGGGGGAAGGCCCCCGACCCCCTCCATGTTCATTGGGCGCTGTCGCGGTCCTGCTTACTTCGCTAGCAGCCATTGGCAATCGGGGTTGTTTCGAGGCTCGCAGCTGGCCCCCGCGTCCAGGACCCGTTTCCCCCAGGGCCCGTCTCTCCCGCACAGCCTACATTTATGTCGGGCCTGTCCCCCTACAGGGTTTTTTCGACGAGAAATAAAAAACACCTCACAAATGGTCAAAAAATAGTCCAAAAATGGTCTGGGGATTATTTTTTTAAGCCTTTGTTTGACCTTCTTGGTTCCATTTTGGGGTATATTTCTTAATTTTTCGTCGAAAATCTTCCTGTAAGGGGGACCCGTCTCTCCCGCGCATCCTGCAGGCATCGGCCGTCGCCCACTCCTCGCCGGCAGGGGCCCCACAGCCCAGCCCAGCCCGCAGGGATTTGTTATATTTTTCGTCGAAAATCCTCCCGTAGGGGGGACCCGTCTCTCCCGCGCATCCTGCAGGCATCGACCGTCGCCCACTCCTCGCCGGCAGGGGCCCCACAGCCCAGCCCAGCCCGCAGGGATTTGTTATATTTTTCGTCGAAAATCCTCCTGTATTCAGAGCGTGAATTACCTACCCCGCTTTCGCTTCCGGGCAAAACCAAGCCATACCACGCGCCTCCTCGTCAAGCGGCCTGACCAGCACAGGCTGCAATTTGGCATCGTTTGGTATCTCTTGGAAGCGAGGGTGGTCAAAAGCGAGGTAGGTTTGTTTTCCCCCTATGTAGGGGGGACCCGTCTCTCCCGCGCATCCTGCAGGCATCGGCCGTCGCCCACTCCTCGCCGGCAGGAGCCCCATAAGCCCGACCCGCAGAGGCCAATAATGTGCGGGCTCGCCACCGGCGCCCCGTCGCCGATCTGTCGGCGACGCGTCGCCGAGAGTCCAGGCAGAGCTGCTCCCCCCCTGGAGGCTCCTGGCATCGCTCGGACGTGTGCATGTCTCCTTCGGCGGGGACCATCGAGGAGCATCCTTGATCATCTGGCGAAAGAGCCACGCACGGAGCCAACAGAATCACAGGGGATGGACGTCCGAGCGATGGCCAGAGCTCGTGCACCCCAAGGGCGCGGCAGGTTCCCGTCGTGGCGGTGCGGCGGCGTCCACGCCGCGGGCGTTTTCAAGGTCGAGCGGCGCCGGTGGCCCAGAAGCGTCCGAGGTGGAGCGATCTGGCGATCGAGAAAAAGTCGATGTTTCAAGTTCGGCCCACGCGGTATTACAGTCGGGGCGTTGACCTAAGGAACACTAAATATCCATAAGTTGAACCTCGATTTCCCATGGGAAACCTCAGGAAAACCCGAGGCAAACTTTGAAACAATCAAGGAACACCGAGCCCCTCCCCAGCGAAAAGGGTTCCTTCTGCAGGGCCCCGGCTGCATTAACGGGCGAAGAACGGTATAACATAAATTGTTTCGCTATCGGGAGCGCCTGTCCCAGGGCGCCTGGAAAGTTGATACTCTTGCCGTGGCACCGTAGGGGTATAAACTTTCCAGCCGCCAAGGGGCAGGCGTCCCCGACGGCGGAAAAGTTTATGTTATACCGTTCTTCGCCCGCTGATATTAGAAACCAACGCCGGAGTCGTCACGACACGAGCTTGCCGTACGCGAGAGAGCGGGGACGAAGGACGACAGCAGGCAGTGCCGCCTGCCCATATTGACCAGGACTCGCTGTCGGTGTCACCGCGGACGTTGTCCGTTGGACGCAGAGGCAGAGGCAGTCCGCTCCAGCGTGAGGCTAATCGGGGTAGCCGAATCTGGGTAGTCGAAGGCCAGACTGTCAGATTGGATTGGGCCCCAAGGGCCAATCTGGCCCGGCCAAACTGGATGATTTGGGTGATTCGCCAGACTGGATTCGCGTTGGCTCCCTCGCCAGATTGCCCCCGTTTGCCAGATTGGGTCTGCCAGATTGGCGCCAGATTGGCCTCGACTGCCCAGCGAATTGCGAATAGTCGGGCGTGCAAGTGGCAGAACAGAGGGGAGGGCGGTCGCGCGGGGGGGAGGAGAGGTGGGCAGAGGGGGAGCAGAGGGGGAAGCGGGGGGAGGCGGAGGGGAGCAGGGGCGGAAGAGGGGGCAGAGGGGGGCAGAGGGGGAGCAGAGGGGCAAGAGAGGAGGGCGGCCGCGCGGGGGGAGGAGGGGGGGAAGCGCTCAGATGTGGAGGAGTTCTGCGAAGAGCAGGCCGGAGCGGCCCGCCGAGACAGCGGGAACCGCTCCTCCTCCTCCTCCTCCTCCTCCTCCTCCTCCTCCTCCTCCTCCTCCTCCTCCTCCTCCTCCTCCTCCTCCTCCCCCTCCTCCTCCTCCGCCCCCGGGCGGGCAGCCGGTTGGTGTGGGCGGCACCTCCCAGCGTCCGGGGGAACTGAAACCCGCTTAGTCGTGGCCTGTATGGGGGCTGCGCCACTGCTGAAACCACCCACCCTCCCACGG